GGGTAAATGAATAGGACATGGTTGATCTTCATTATTTTGTTTTTCTGGTTGCTTTTTGACTGACGGTTCAGGTTCAATTGGTTCATTAACAGGAATTGACTTCCGTATTTTTTTTGAAATTTTAGGTTTAATAGTGTTGTTAATCACCTTACCACTTCTTAGTGTTGTGATTGCTTTCACTTGATTTGGAGAAGGTTCAGAGGATACAGAATTAGCTTGACTCTGACTTTGTGGAGGTTTAGGCTGAGATGAGAATTTTCCCTTTTCTGGCATATTGAGGGACTGAGTCAACTTAGCTAGATGACTCTTGATATCTTCAATACTTTGAGAAGTTTGGGCTTTAAAATTATTAAAAGCTTGAGTTATTTGAGTGTTAAAACTCATTTGACTTTGAATAAATTGATTCATAGTATCTTTCAGAGTTCTTCTCTATGGAGGTTGATATGGTGGATATTGTTGTTAATTTTGTGACTGTGGTGGACGTTGTATTTGATTTGTAGGTTGTGTATTTTTTTTTTCACTAAAATTTGGATGATTTCTCCATCCTGAATTGTAAGTTTCAGAATATGGATTTAAATAAGCCTTATTATAAGTTGGAATTGCATTAAATTGTTCAATCAAAACTTTTTTGAATGTAGTTATAGTTGGACATTCTGTTGTAGGATGTCCTGACAACGTACAAATTTCACATATTTGATCATTAGTAGACACAACAGACACTTGTTTAATTTTTTTCATCTCTAAGACTTCTAGTTTTTGAGATAAATCATTATCTTCTTTTAACACATATTTTCCTCTTTCGGATGTAGATGACTTACTTTCCACTATATTTGAAGAAGTCGAGTTCCACATTTGGGAACTCTCAGAAATAGTATCAAAAAATTGAAATGCTTATTCTGATTTTTTATTCATAAATTCTCTTTGAGCCATCATTTCAACAAATTGATGCATTGTAGATGGAAGAGCATCATAAAAAAATCGACTAGAGTTCAGTTTTCAAATGCATGATGTGGACAGGCTTGGAGAAGATCTTTAAATCTTTTCTAGCATTGATAAAAAGTTTCACCTTCTTTTACAGAAAAATTCATTATTTGATGTCTTAAGGTATTAGTACAATGCACAGGAAGAACTTTTTAAAGAACTCAGCTTGCAAAGCATGCCAATTTGTGATAGAATTAGCTCTTAAAGTGTTAAGCCACTGTTTAGCCTTATCTTTTAAAGAAAAAAGAAAAAGTTTTAAATTGGCTATTTCAGAATTATCTTTCAAAGTTCTACAGACTTCTTCAAATTCTTTCATATGCACATAAGTATTTTTAGTTTCCAAACCATGGAATTGTGGTAATAGAAAAATTGTTCATGGCTTAATATTAATCTTTGGAGAGTCTATTGGAAAAGTAAAATATGACAAGACATTGGTTCGTATAGGATGTAAATATTCTCTTAAGGGTCGGAGATTTTAAATTACTTCGTGCTCTTGCTCTTGCCCCCTATGTACGTTTTGAGCCATACTTAATTCAAATGATACTTGTGCAGATAAAGATGATGAAGACGAATGAGATGACTGATTTACCGAACCTACTGATGAGTGTACAAACATATACTATATAAAAAGCAAACACACAATTTATATATATATATATATATATATATATATATATATATATTACAAATTAAACAACTTTCATATTTTATTCAATTTCAAATTATTGTAACTCCCCGG